GGGTAAGTGTCTGCCCTTCCTTGGGTAATGTTGTGCCGGTTCTTGACTCCCCGTGATGCTGACCAACCCTAACCTCGGTCTTCTTCCTGCAGCAGCCCGGTGTTGTCGCGGGCCCTTACGTGGCACCCGCCGGTGTCGGTGCAGATGGACAACCGCGCCTTCGTGCAGAGAACGCACTCGACGCTCTGTTAGACGAATTGCAAACCTTCGCAAGGCCCCCATCTGAGGCAGGGAGCCGCAAGAGTAGCATCGATGTAACACCCGCCACACCTCTGGCCACTGCTGCCCCGACCAGCCTCACTGTCACTTCCGCCCTTAGCACTACTAATACGGGCGTCAGGCGGCTGCCGTCCTTCCCCAGTTCTGACTCCCAGTCGTCCCCAGTCAAGACCCCAGCCTCAGTATTTCCTGGGGTGTCCAGCACACTCCCCAGGGCAGCAGGCAGCAGCAGCCAGGCGCCCCTGCCACCCCCGCGTGATGAACACCGCCTTAGTGTGGCCTCCAATGCTTCAGCAGGATCTGGCCGATCATCTCCAAGGGGCAGCATTAGTGGAGAGCCACACCGTTTGCCTCCCCCACCTCCCCCCCGGACCTCATCTAAATCCCCCATGCTGTCCCCTTCCTCGCCCATGAGTCCAGCCCCGAGGTCAGCCTCGGTTCCCCCAGGTGGGGTTGTGGCGACAGTGGTGGGCGGTGTGTTACGGAACTCTGAGGGTCGTGAATTGTATGGTCCGGTGCTGCGGCAACGGCCACCCCTTGGACGAGGCTCGTTTAGCGAAGACTCAACAGCCTCGTCAGCCTCCACCAACAGTTCGACGAGTAGCGCAAAGGCTGGGCAGCTATCCTCCAACAGCAGCAGTACCGAGAGTGTCAACTCTCAGGAAGGAGCTGGGCATCGCCAGCAAAATACAAGCAATGTGCCACCAACACCACCTCCAAAACAGAGGCAGGAAAATTTAGAAGCAAGGCATATGGAGCTACTTAGGCGTCAGAAGCAGTTGCAAGAGCAATATCAACGCCTTCAGGCACTCCAGCGTTCAGGAGGTCGTCTCGCTCCGGCCAATGTGGACTTAAAGAAAACAGGTAGTGAGAGTAATCTGTCAGCACGCCTAGGCCTCTCCTTGGCACCAGTGTCACACGGGTCACTCTCGAACCTTGCTTCTTCCCCATCCCCCTCCCAGTCCCAGTCCCAGGCCTCTCATACCAACACCCTCCCCAACCCCAAGACCTCCTCCTTAGCTACTGTGGGAGGGGACACGCACCTGACAACAAAACGCACTAGTGGTGGCCTGGTTGAAACAGATATTCTCTGAAGGCCCTGGGTTCTGTTAATACACCGAGTATGGAGGAAGACTCTCCTTATTCATGAGAATAGGATATGTAAATATGTAAAGTTTATACATACAAGAAACTGCCAACAGAGAGACTAAGGGAAACTTACCATGCAATATACGCTTTATTTAGGACTCATTTTGCGTCATTTGACAAAACATAATTTTTGTCATGGTTATTTCAAGGTTTATCTATGTCATTAAAATCAAAAGACTTTTTGCCTACCAAACTCCTTGATCAACAAGAAGATTTTAAGGATAATTTCTTATCTGATGACATACATAAAGTTCCAAAAAAGGTGGACACAAAAATGTTGCTCAAAAACAGGATGCTAAAGAAAGCCAAAAGAGGAGTATAATTATATGTTATACTTGGTGTACTATAATGAGTGAGGAACAGATATTTCTGTCTGAATATAACATGTAGTTATAGTCCTGGCTAAAGGATATAAGCAACGCTAAAATTGTTTAAAAAAAAGGTGTGCAAGTCTATGATCTTAAGCCAGCTTTGTATGTCTGTATATTTAATGAAACAACTGATTTGTATTACATACTCATTAACATTTGGAGTGTGTGTGTGTGTGTGTGTGTGGTAAAATCAATATTTAGAGACCATAATCATCATAGTAATAAAAACTTCATCAAGTGTAGTTTCATAATTACAGTGCTGATTTAACAAATGTGGGTATTGTTAGGTTGGTGTATCCACGCAGTATGGCACCCACATGAGCGAAGCATATCAGGGTCCTGAATAAACTATGTTATATTAGTCTAACCACAATATATGTTTAAGTGTCATATTTTTACTAAATAATCTTGATTCATGGTTGATTTTCTCTCTAAAAGTATTTCACTTGATATCTATTTTATAGCTTGGCTTTGGGATTAATAGACTTGCAGTTAATTTCTTTACTCTCATGAATTATGACAAGAAAGTTTCATGTAAATAGGTTATAAAACTGCACATGTTTATGTATCTGATACTGTCAATTGTGTAATTTTATTTATTTGTCTTTTTTTGTGACGATGTTGCGCACAATACCATTGTCACAACTTAAATTATTGTTATTAACACTACTGGCCATATTTTAAAGGTATATCAAACTGGGCAAAGTTTCATATAGAAACTGTTTTTGATGATTTGCTAGATATTTCAGGAATATGTGTAT